TGTTAAGACTTGCTTCCTCAGGCTACTCATTAATGTATGAAATGGTGTCTGATTAACAGGTCCATTGGCTGAAGGTATTTTGATGCTCTCGAGCCACAAAGAAGTTACTTTGTTGGTGATACACACAGATAAGCTGAATTGTATGTTGGTACTTAATGAATTCGTTATCTTTGAGCAGTAGCTGAAAAATCCTTCCTTTGAAGAAGCAAAATCCTAGTAGAAAAACTTAGAGAGAAAGAAAGTCAAATGGGAAGACTGCTGATGTCTACTGTGTGCCCGATAGAAGAGTACGCAGTGCAGCCTGAGTGTCCTGCATCTCAAACTGTGGGTTTGTCTAGTTATTGGAAAATGAAATGGAAGAGAGCTCTTTGTTTGCATCTTGTGATGCAAAGTATATGTTCTCTTAGCTCCTAGTTACAGTAAAATAGTGCATGTACTGGAAGTGTTTACTGTCTTTGAAAATTCTTCACTGTTAGCCTAATACTACTGGTCCTGGAGTTCCTTCTCCTTGAGCAGTGAATTATTTTCACTTTATTCCATTCATTTATTTTTCCACTTCCTGAGATCACTTTGTAAATTCTTCCACTTATGATATCTACAGATTATCAAATTGCTGCCTCCTTCTTCCCAGCAACTTTTCCTCCTGGTGAATCTCTTCTTGACTGGCTGCAGTGTCTTCTTGCATGCTGTTTTATTTGTGAAGCAGCACTGTCTACAAATGGCTCTTTTCTTCTGGTCTGTTATATTTTAAATATCAGTTGCTTTCCATAATGAAAGACATTTTGAGTCCAACGGAAGAGAGAAATTCAGTGCTTCAAACCTAGTCTTTCTGGAGTCAAATGCCTCTGCAGTGCTGTGATTTTGAACAACATATGCTACTTCTGACACACCTTTTACTTGCATTTTTTTTGCTCTTTGTCTTCCCGCATCTCCCCAGTTTTCTCTTCAGCAGAAAAATGATTCATGATTTCTGTGAGCCCTTTTGGATTCAGAACAGACATGTCAGAAACATTTATGTAGACTTCTGTCTGTTGTGAGTCAGTCCAAGTTGTCCATTACTGCAAAGTTACTCATTTTTTTGTCTGTGTGTGTGGATCCCACTGTATATCTTTAATAGCTGGTGAGAATACCATTTAGACACCTTACTTGGCTCCTTAGTTTTCACATTTGAACTTTACTGCTTAGTTTTTGTGCATTTTACATAAAGTAGTAAGAACCTTCTGCCTCATAACACCACAAGTGCCCTTATACTCAAGGTGAATACTCCAAACTGAGAGTGCTCTCCTCTGAAGAAGGGAGTTCTTGTCAAATGAACCATTTCACAGTTCAGAATGTTCACTAAATGCTTTTTTTGGCTGCCCGAAGTTGCTTCTCACTGCACTTTTGATTTCTTCATTGTCTGCAAATAAGGACTCGCATAAATCCTGAATTCTGGCACCACCCAGTACACGTTTGGCTGTGTATGCACAGCCTGTTTGGCAGTGATTTGTTAGAGTAAAGCTCAGTAAAGCCCAGAGACTCCCACGCTTGATTAAACTCTTGGGCTCTCATTTTTTTTACAACTATTTGTGTCTCTCTCTGTGTCCTGCATACACTTTCAGGTGCAAAGCTGCTTGGAACATGGATTTTTGGAGGTTTGGCAGATAGAATCAGTAATGACCAGGAGGAGTTTCTTTGGCAGTCACTGATGTGATTTGAAGCTAACCATTATTTACATTGTATCTAAGCACCTATATTGCAACTTAATTAGCTTAAAACACAAACCACTGCATGAAGTTACTTACATATATGTAATACTAGACCACCTGTTCCGGTTGTGCTCTGTGGAATCCTTTAGCCCTTGGTTTGTGCTGCTACTGAATCCTCTTTTAATAGCAACAAATACGACTTGACTGTCCTAGGATCCAACTCTACCCCATAATCTGATCAGCATTGGCCAGCAAAACGAATTCAAAAGTTTCATTAGCCTTACCTAATTGATCTTTATTCACTATGCATTTTTAACAGCAGTTTCTACTAAGCAGATGCTGGAAACAGGTATAGGTGGAAGTTGTACAGTGGAAGTTGTATTTCAGCACAGTTAAAGCCTCAATAAAACAGGTCTTTCTGCACCTGGCAGTTTTCAACAGGAGAGACCTGCTCTTGACAGCCAAGCTGTCAGCTGCCTGGTACAGTCAGTGCCAAGTGTGCTGAGTCTAGACCACAGATAATGTGAGATTTGGGGATTACATAGTCAGAAGTTGTTAGACCATTTGAGGGTAAGTTAGACCCTGGAAACTTGCCTGTTTTGGAGTAAGTGTCATTAATGTAGTTACTGTAATAACAGCATTCTGTTCTGCCTTCAGCACAGAGCTTTCCATCATAGCTCTGCAGGCTAAATAATAGTGTTTAGCAACGGTGCTTGAAGGATCTTTTTTTGGTTGTAAGAGAACAAATTAATTTCCACGTGTAGTTATTTTGTGAAATTAAGTGCTCAGGACTGCATTACACAATTCATGTATGCAGCACTTCTTGGTAAAATGTGGCGTTTACTTCAGTTTCCATGTGTGCCTTGTAGGATGAACTGGTGGTTCTCATCTTCACTGGCGTATGTTGTTCTTGATAACAGTAGTGTGATCTGCAGCGTAGTGTTAATCTGCTGTTGGATTCTCTCCCAGATATAACTTTGATAAATGCAACTGAAGTCTTATCATTGCACTCAGTTTTAGATATGATCGACAGTGATTGCTGTTCTGTACCAGTGGCTGCTTTGATCCTTTGCCCCCTCTCTAGTGGCAGACAGTACTAGACTCTTTACTTCCTCTTCAGTTTTAAATTAATTCATTTTGTCTATTTGAGTGTCCTCTTCTGTTACAGGGGGGTGAAAAGAGGCTGCTCATAGATTTGTTAAATCCTCTTTCTCTACCAAAACTTGTACTTGTTTTTAGGGAGAAGCGACTTCTAGACTATTCATCTCTTCTTTTTTCCATCTATCACTTTTCCTGCTTCCTACCATTTAAGAAGGATACTAGTGCTGGAGGTTTTGCTACAGCAGTGTGTAACAGCAATGGCCTTTGTAGTTTACATACTCCTTGTCTAGTACAGTAGTTCTAGAGGGCAAATGCCAGTTGGAGATTTCTCTGCTTCTTATGCTAAAGCCTCTGAAATATGCAGTGTGAATCCTTGTAACAGCAGTTTGAACACTTCAGATTTAGAACAGTTTCTAGGGAAAACCAGGCTTGAGCTTTCCCAGGGTGTAAAATATTTCTAGGTGCATTGTAATTCTAGTGCAAAATTTCCTGCGTTGTGGAGAAAATACTTCTGTTGTCTGTGACACCTCCTTGTGTAACTGTAGGCAATGCTTTTTACAGTCCCTTCTAGTAACTCATTGCAGAGAAGAAATGCTCTTGACTCTTCCCTTCACCAGTTAATAGAGAAACATAGAATGAGCATGTGTTTAGTGTCAAATCTTCAGCATCTTGCCATGTTTTCTGAATTTTTAACTTAGTGAGTTCTAGAGTTGCAGCTGATTTGCACTGTAACTGGAGTGGGCCAAGGTTATTTAGAAATATTATTGTGCTCTTACAAGCTGGTCACCCAATGTGCATCACTGTAGTCTGCAGTGATAACACTGACTGAATGTTCAGCATTATCAGCTATTGACCTGTAATCATTGCTGCTCTCAAAACAAACGTATCCTGGTTTGATATTTGTCCAAGGATATATCTTCTTTTTTAAATAAGCAAAAAAAAAAATCAATGTAACGTTTAATGGCTTCAGAAAGCTTCTCAGTTTCATGCCACAGTTTTATTTTCCTGTCTCTTGTGTGTTACCTCCATCTACAAAGTACTTAATAGTTCATTAAAGAACATTAGCCCCTGTGGTGCCACTGAGCACACATGGGTTTAGTCAGTGCTTAGCTCCTAATGTAAGAAATAATGCAGCTTTGTGATAAGGTCTTTAATCGAGGACTTTGGTGGCCTGTTTCCCAGCACCAGTGTGGACTTGCTGAGTGAAGTGCAGCAAGCTCTGCTCTGCTCTGTTTTACCTGTACTAATCATCAGCATGAGTTATTCAGGCAGATTCAGCTGCAGGACTTTCAGGGAAAGGGAAACTTAAGTGGTTCTTTCAGTTAGCAGTTGTGTATTTGTATTTGCCATACTAAGGCTGCAAACCCTTTCTTGGCAAGTCTTGTCTGGACTAGCTGCATTCCTGTTGGAAGTGTTTTGGGGTTTATTCTTAAATGATCTCTGAGCAGTTCAGAGCTGAAAGGTGTTATATGCTTGGCTGTGAAACATAACCTTTTCAATATCTTCCTCTTTCCCCTTCTAATTCAGGGCTGTCTGATTTTGAGTGATGAACTGAATCATGCATCACTAGTGCTTGGAGCAAGACTGTCAGGAGCAACTATTCGAATCTTTAAGCACAACAGTAAGTATCAGATGGTGGACTCTGCCTTTCTGCAGATGCTATAGATCAGATACAGTCTCTTCTGTCTTTTAATAGTTGGAAATCCAATTTCGTGCAAGGAAATCAATTACTGGTTACCTGAAAGGTCAGAAGACTGCTGCTACTGAGAATTTTATCATCCTGAATTGGATATTTTTTATACCTTGAGTCTCAACTAATAACATTTTTATCCTGAACCTGTTCTGAGTTACACTTTCTGCATATGAAGAGGAACATGCTGCCCTTTGGCAAGTCTAGGGGCACTAATGTTTTAGTGTGGCTTCTTGTTACTTGGATAGCTCAGTGTGATTAGACTCTTTTTTAACAGTCCATGTCACATAGTGATGCAATCTTGTAGTGGTCTAGGTTACAATTTGGGGAATAAGGAAGTTCAATTTTAGGACCAGATGCTGACATGATCCTACAGTATTTCAAGTTTGTGAATGCAGATGTCCTGGCTAAATTAAACAGCCACGCATTGGTACAATGTGGTACAAAAGGAATTTTTGGGATGTGAAGCATAGATTAATTTCACGGAGTTACTTGCTTTAAGTATTTGTCTCTAAAATACACAGAATTTTCACTTTACTGGTTCTGACTTCCTCCAAAGGAAGTATTAGAATAACTTTTGGATTAAAAACACTTAGGATCTCCTTCACTTATTCTCAGTGAAAGAAGTACATGGTTGTCTTTGATAAAGCCACTACCGTCATTCTTCAGCTGCTCCTATACTCTTTATAATACCAATCTCTGAGATCATGATGACTCTTTTGAAGTGGGTGATGGTGACAGCAAAGCTTGGGTGGCTGCAATTATTTTCCTTTCTGTCCCACTTGATAGTGGATCCTCTGCTGTGCTCACTGTTTCTTTTGTGCTCTTTCTTTCTGTTCTCTATTTTTTGATTTATTTTCTTTACAGAAGTGTCGAGTTTACTGGAACATTCAGTAATTTATTTTTTTCCTTCATTCTTCATAAATCTCGATTGCTGGGCAAGATCACAAAAGCTTTCCATTCAGCTTCTCTATTTGAACAGACGTACTTCTGAACTTGGCATCCAGTTGCAGAATTTCAGAGAACACTGGTGACAAACTTAGTTCTGGGTATGAGGAGGATTTAGAAGCTCTGATATGATGAGGAAGAATAGATGACCTGTGGGAATGGGGTACAAACTTGCAATGGGGAGACTGGGGGATGTTCTAGAAACCTTACAGATGGTGGGGATCTGGGAAAGAATGGAGCGACAGATCAGAACTGGAAGGAAAAATGCAAGCAATGATCTTGGCCTGTCAAGATGCTGTTCGATTCATGGTTCTGTGTGTGCTCTCAATCCTGCTCTTGTTATACTCTATACTGCCTTAGTTAACTTCATTTTTCTGAGCTGTTAATGGCTTCATTCATATTCCGCATTTTAGAAATTATGGAAAAAATTAAAAATCTCCTTTAAAATCCACATTTAATGTTTCCATTTTTTTTGCTGCCTCATTCTGCAGTTTATCCTTTTTATTAAGATCAGGCCTGGTTCCCAGTCTTTCCCTCTCTCTTGAGAGGTCAGAGCAGAAGTTGATATTGGCGTTGTTCTCCCTGACTGCACTAAACTTTCTTTTCTTCCTTGAGAGATTTGTTGGAGGCAGGGACTCCACTGCTGATTTCTTATCTTTGTCTTTTTCTGAGCATTAGCTGTCTTCTAACAGGCTATTAACTGACCTATTTTGCTGTATAATGTCTAGTCTGGTTCTCGTTCACAAACTCTTGCTGCTACAAGTGCCCTAGTCTACCAGTCCTCTTTTCATGATTGTTTCTGCTCTTTTCCATGCCCTAGTGTTGATATCTGTCTCTTGCTCAGCACTTTAGCTGTTATGGTTTGATTACTCCCATCTCCACTGCTTTCCTCAGGGGTTTTTTTTTGTTTTTTTCAGGACTGATTTCATGTGGATTTATTTGCTCACGTTAGTCAGGTCTCCTAGGATCGTGTTAAGTGTTCATAGCCAAAGCTAGTGAAGTTTCAGAACACACTGCTACTAACAGCTTCATCTGTCTGGTTTCTGATATGCTGAGCACTGTGCTCTTTCCTATACTGGTGCTTCTTTTTTTTCCCTTCCTTTTCTGTTTTTGGTTTGATTGCTTCCTGTTCCACACCTCCAGTCCCTTCAATTTTAAACAAAGTAGTAAAAAAAGTACACTTGCTCTCCTTCTTGTCCTGTCCTTTGGTCTATTTTCTCCTTATCTTTAGTTGATTATCCTTGAGCTTGCTTGTTCTTTTTTGAGTTATTTCAATCTGCAAGGACACGCTTACTCCCTAAGTTGCTTTCTCTTTTTCTTATGATGAGAAACTTTTGGGTTTTTTTCTTCCTTCCTTATTTGCTGTTTGTGCTGAATGCTCTAACTTGTGCTTTTAGCTTAGGACGATGAAATTCTTCCTCGGAGTTCATGCATTCACACTTTCCCTTTAATCTCATCTGTGGGCCTGCAGCTAGATGAAGCCCATGCTTATTGACTTATGTATGGTCTGTCCTCCACACTGGAGCAATTTGTGCATTTCTGGAGTATTGCTGTCTTTAGTCATGTCAAAGCTCAAGCTAGTAGCTGTTTTGGTACCATTTAACAGTAATTTCTGGTGCAGATATGCAAAGCCTGGAGAAGCTGCTCAAAGATGCTATTGTGCATGGGCAACCTCGTACACGGAGGCCCTGGAAAAAAATTCTTATCTTGGTGGAAGGAATATACAGGTACAAACTATTCTTTATATTCCTAAGACCCTCCACATGAGATCTAGCTGCTTAGTGTTTGAGTTCCTTTGCCAAATCAAGCTATGAATATGTTCACTTCGTAGTTATTTCATTAATCTCATCTGCGAATTAAGTTGAGCTGTGTGTGTCTCACATCCTGGACTTTCTGTTGCTAGTGCTGTAGCTGCACCTGGTGTTGTCACAATGCTTCCCACATCCCGATTCGAGCATAGAAATTAATTAATCTGAACTGATTAGTTACAACAGAGCTGAGGTCTTAAATTGCTTGTCCATTCCATTCTTTCTGTGCTCACCAGGTGATGCTATGGTGTGAATGGAATTGCGCAAATTGAACATTTTTGCTGAGAGTCAGTAGGAGCATGTAGTAGGCTGAGCTGTGTCAGGCATTTAAATCATGGTTACTTTCAGCACAAAATGGGTGTTTTGGAGTGCTCCTAGTCAGTTCTCAAAAACAACAGGTAAGTAGATGTCAGTTCAGAATATTGACATTAGGGTGGAAGTAGAAACAAGATAATTCATTTATACAATTGTCACTAAAGTCATTTAACTTACCCTTGCTGCTACTATTTAGTGTGTGTGTCAGCATCCCAGAGATGTTAAACGGGGGGAAAGTAGAGATCTGGGCCCCAGGTGCGAGGAGAAGTTATCTTTAATCTCTGCAGAACACAATGTGTCTAGCAAATTTTGTGTTCATAAGTACTGAAAGAGTGAAGGAAAGAAAGCTTATAAGGAGGCCTCAACCATTAAATCAACTTACACTGAATTTCTGTTTCTCAACAGTATGGAGGGATCCATAGTCCGTTTGCCTGAAGTGATTGCCCTTAAGAAGAAGTACAAATCCTACCTGTACCTTGATGAGGCTCATAGTATAGGTGCCCTGGGTCCCAGTGGCCGGGGTGTAGTGGAGTATTTTGGACTCGATCCTGAAGATGTGGATGTTATGATGGGAACATTCACCAAAAGCTTTGGAGCTGCTGGAGGATACATTGGGGGCAAGAAGGTAAAAAGCTGGGGATCTCATGGCTGTTTCAGGCTGGTGATGGGAGTCCTTCACTAAGCATTTCTAAACTGATCTAATTCTCAAGTACCCTGACTTATCCATTTGTTTCATACTTTTACATACTGTCTAGTACTGTGAAAGTCTGCAATGGAGAAGAGTCTAGTAAAATACCTCAGAATTGTAGAGTTCTCACGTGGTCAGCAATGACCTCTGCAGAATGTACAGTAGTGGTGTACTATTTTTTTAGGAACTTCCAGGAGCTGGGAAGCAGGGATTTTGTTAACATTACTTCTGAATATAAGGGTTGCAGGAAAAATGCCAAAAGCTGAAGTTTTCCAGTGTGTTTGAAGGAAAATCCCCTTCTTAGATTTGCTGGTAGAACGGATCCCTCTGGACTCTAACAGTTTGTTTTCTGGAAAGACACTTCCCATTTTGTTTTGGTTTTGTTGGGGTTTTTTTAGGCTACTAACTCCGTTCTATTGGAAAGTACTGCTAGTACTGCTTTTGGGAGAGATGGTGTACACAGTAGCATGTGTGCCCTTTCTCATATCCTCAATTGTATCTCACAGATGAGGCTTCTAACCCTTGAGAGTAAAATTCTACCATTTTCCTACCAGGACAATGATTTTTTTAGATACTAGTAGTGACAATTACTTCAGTCTATCCAAATGGAAATGGCACTTGCAGGTGTTTCTCTTTGGGAGTTTACTACGGTTGGATTTAAATTACTCTGACATCTCCTCCGAAGGAAAGCACTCTATTAATCTTTTTCCAGAAGTAGTGAGCTACTGGGATTAACTCCCTTGGCGCTGAGGTGAAGCAGCTAAGAGTTCTTTGCAGTTGTGTTTTAGCTACTGTTTGAGGGATTCCTTTAGAGGTTACAGGCCTTGAATCCTCTTACCTAGTTTATTTCAAATTCCCTTTACAACTTCCTTTCATTTAACTCTGACTCCAGGCAGACAACAATATAAAATAGAACATTTCTATAATGTGTTCCCAGCTTGTGCTGTCTACAGGGCCATCATTATTAATTTTATGGTAGGAGAAGACAGAATCTGTCCTGCGATTCATACTGGTCTTTATAATATTTTGCTGGAGTGGTCTGAGTATTTTGAAGTGGTGGTGTTACAGTTAATAACAGGCAGCCTAGATCTGTGGTATGTTTGTCTTTTGTTCCTATATGACCTACTTTTGCCCTCTGATAAATGTAGCAGGTGTGTTCAGCTGGGAAATGCAGGAGGGGTAGGCTGAGCACTCTTAAATTACACCTGCTGCTTTATTTATGTTGTGCTGATAAATGGGAGAAAATATTTTGTGACCTCTTCCCCTGTTTGAAGACTTTTGTGGGGAAACAGTTATACTGAGCGTGATACGTAAGCACCTATGTATCCCGCTACCCACTATTTCATTTGTTTTATACTCCCACTGTTAAAATAAACACTCTTAAATCATGGCCTGTGCACAGCTCGAGTAATGAAAACACCTTGTTGCAATCCAATGCTGGTGGTGATAGCTAAGCAGGTCTGTCATAGGCATTTGTCTTTGACCAACACACACTCCTGTCCTGTGACATAATTATGGGTTGTCATGTCCCTGCTGTTCGCTCTTACTTGTACCATAAGTACAAGTATGTACAAGTACATCCCCCTGTACTTGGCACTGGTGAGGCCGCACCTCGAGTGCTGTGTTCAGTTCTGGGCCCCTCACTAGAAGAAGGATGTTGAGATTCTGGAGCGTGTTCAGAGAAGAGCCACAAGGATGGTGAGGGCTCTGGAGAACAAGCCTGATGAGGAGCAGCTGAGGGAACTGGGGTTGTTCAGCCTGGAGAAGAGAAGGCTGAGGGGAGACCTCATCCCCACCTACAACTACCTCAAGGGAGGTTGTGGAGAGGTGGGTGCTGGTCTCTTCTCCCAGGTGATGGGGGATAGAATAAGGGGAAAGGGCACCAAGCTGTGCCAAGGGAGGTTCAGGTTAGAGCTAAGGAGGAAGTTCTTTACTGAGAGGGTCGTCAGAAGCTGGACCAGGCTGCCCAGGGAGGTGGTGGAGTCACCATCCCTGGATGTGTTTAAAGAGCGGGTAGATGAGGTACTTAAGGATATGGTTTAGGGGGTAGACAGGAACGGTTGGACGTGATGATCTCAGAGGGCTTTTCCAACCGAGCAATTCTGTGATTCTGTGATAACATCAGTCCTTGAGCTACCTGTTCTCTTCCAGGACATTCTGGAAGAGGTTTCTTTTGGTGGCCCATTTTATGTTGTGGTTAAGACATGACAATAAAGCATTTCTCTGAGTGCTGGGAAGGCAATGTCTTATGCCTCTTGTGTTTTGCTAGGAACTGATTGATTACCTCAGGACTTACTCTCACAGTGCTGTGTATGCAACATCAATGTCACCTCCTGTTGTGGAGCAAATCATCACCTCCATGAAGTGCATTATGGGTGAAGATGGTACAACTGTTGGTGAGTCTTTCTAACAGTAAGCATGTCGAAGGGGAAGCCAAACAGAGCCACTTTATCACTTTGGCAGATAACTCATTCAGTGGACGCGTTCATAATTATCTGCTAGTAAATGTAGACTTAGAATTTCTGGAGCAATAAACCAATTTACTGTCCTACTTGGCATATAAACCTAATAACAGCATGAGGAATTTTGACCTAGAGGTAAGTCATCTTGATCTTGTCTAAGACACAATATTGTCATATAATGATTTTTGTTCTGTGTCTAGCTTTTCTAGCCTCCTTCTTTTTATTCTCTGTTGTTTGTCCTTTGTTATTTGCTCCGCTTTGTAGATTGCTTTCAGAGTATTTTGCTGTGTATCTTTTACAGTCTTGTGTGCTGGTTACTGCAGGGATGATGCTTTTGATTTTAATCTCTAGTATAATCTGACGTTTGCACCTCACTTAAAGTAAATATGGAAATGTATCTGAAATAATGTTGTACTTGGGGAGCTAGAGGCAGTTTTCAATATCAGCAGACTTGATACACCAGGAGAAGAAATTCAGCATATTTGTCTTTATTGTCTTAGTTTTCCTTTTTCATTATGAAAATAAGAAAAGGGAAAACTGTATTAGTCTTGATGCATCCAAATTAAAAAAATACAGATTCTTGTGTCTTATTTGCCTAGTAGGTAGCAGCTTCCTTCAGTTACAGCATGAAGTAAATAGCTTGCACTTGTGATGTGTAAGCTGCCTTGAAGCTGAAATGGTGCAGTACTTTGCACGTAGGATACTTTTCCCTCTTCACAGGTAATTAAAAAGCTGTGAGCTACTCACACAGGATGATGGTGTAGTTTGCTGAGGATCTGTCAGTGCTGTTCAGTTCAGGGGCTCTCAGAATTCAAACCACAGAATATAGTGAGTTATGGGAGTTTCAGGCATCTGGCCACGAGGTGGTAGTGTATACTGAAGAACTGCATTTGCTTTTGAATGTGGATCGTCTGACCAACTCACCTGACAGATAACTCCTACAGTGAAAAAGCTCATTGGAGAAATTACTAAGACATTCTATTATAACAGGTTTAATTTGGTTTGCTGACATCTGAGAACAGAGTTAGTGCCAGCAATTGGAGTTGGTGGTTGGTCAATAGGGAAGTCATCACTGAGGCGAGTACAGCCAGGCAGCAGCCTGTATCTGTGCTGGCACTGAGTGCTTCCAAGTGGTCTGTGTGAGATACCTGTACCAGCCAAGAGTTGTCCTCAGTGCTGCTCTCGAGAACAGATATTAACCAAGCTTCAGACTGCATGAAAAGTTGTGCAAAAGGGCTGGGTCTTGCCATCATCTTGGAAGTGACTGTTTGAGCCCTTTCCAGCTGATGATTTGCCAACAGTCTCTGGTCTGCTCAGGCGTTGCTTGTTTTGGGTTTCTTCCAATATCTGTTTTGCTTAATGAAGTGGGAAGCAAGGAATGTGTAACTGATTGCTGTTTGCAGTATTCAGACGAAGGCATTTCTGCCCGTTCCTGAGGTTACAGTGTGATATCCTTTCATGCCAGGAGAATGGGAGCAACTTCCACTCCAGGCTGTTTTCCTGCCATTATTCTAGCAAGATCCATCAGAGCTGAAAGATGAACTAGATCAGGAACCAGTTTGGCAAAAAAGAAATTAAAAATCTTAAAAGGCCTTTTTTATGTTGCTTAAAATACATGTCAGGCTACATCCTGCTAATTTGGTGCTAAGGAGTACCAGAATTCCTAGCCACCCTTTCTGTTGAGGAAAGAAGTGGTTTTGGTGTTGGAAAGCTGTCATGTCAAAGAAACCTTTGTGTGTCCAATGTCTGTATGAACTGTAGTGCTTCTCGGAAGTGCTGGGTGTAACAGCTGGATAGCCAAGCTCCTGTCTGCTCGTACTCGGAAAGAATTTCTCAGTTACTGGTCTCATGAAAGTGTTACTGGCTTTCTAAGCATCTAAGTCAGCCTTCAGCAAGGGTAAGCACCTCATAGGATGTTCCCGGCATGAAAGTGCTTCTCTGTTCATTTTCTGCACGGTGCTGTTTCCCAGTCATGCATTTTTTTTAATTGCCTTAAGGCTTTAGAGATAATATTACTTTGTAGGCATTTTCTGTGGATGGGGCTGGCAAAAGTTCAGTTGGGTGAGCTGAGCAGCTGCTTAGTGATTCCATGACAAAGTTTTGTCTTTGTTTAAGGCCTTTGGCTGAAAAACTTCTGTTTGGGTTCTGTGGTATTACGGGGGAGGCTCTGGAGGACCCTGCTTGCAGTTGGTTTGACTAAGAGTAGATGTGGAGTGGTGCTGGTAAGAGTTGATAACTGTGGAAGACAAGTAGAGAAGTAGCGCTAAACCGAGTCATGGATAAGCACCTCTGAATCAACTGTGTATTATAAAAATGTCACTGCTTTTAAATTAGTTAAGCTGATCTAATGGATGAAGGAAAACTGAAGTAGGGCAGTGGTTTTACAAGGGCACAGGAGTTGGAGCTGGAATCAGCAGTAGACAGCAGGCTCCCAACCCAATTTTTAGGGCCACAGCTAAATCTTTTAATGGCTTCAAGAATGCTTTCTTGAAAAGAGCCTTTGCGGCAGCTTGTCTGCCTGCTTCTGTTCACCACACAGCGTTTGTAAAAGCTGCTGTCCTCCATGGCATCAAACCTTTGTGGAAATTGTGATGTCAGATTGAGATGGACTGCAGTTGAGGAGTAAGTAGTAGGAAGCAATTACTTTTGGAGGATGAAAGGGAGTTTTTGTGTATTATTTTTCAAGAATAAGTTAATTCTCTCCTCTTATGCTTCAGGTTGTTCCTAAATATGATGAAACATCTGGAGGCTTTAAACTTACAATGTAAGGCGTTGTAGTTACTAAAACTTTACATAACTAAAAAAAGTAAATATCTCCTTTCAAATCTTTCCAGCAGGCTGTCAGTGATTAAATAGGATATTAGTAAGAGGCAGCACAGACAAAATACAGATGCTATGAAAAGCTGAAAGGCTGCTTATAGAGAACATAAGATGGATGGCATGCAAATGTGCTGCCTGAGCTGAGACAGTAGTTTCTTGTGTCTTGATTTCTGTTCAAACTAATCTGTTAATTCTCTGTACTGTTTATGCATGTATGTGACTAGCAAGCCTCAATCTCTCTGAAGACACTTATGAAAATGTCATTATATATGAATCCAAGTATATTACTTGCTCCTTCATCCAGACTGCAAAAAACATTCCGACAGCCAAGGCAATGGCAGTCATGTTACGGGTTCTCGGTTGTGGTGCTTCCAGTACTGCTTGTGAAACTCCTCTACATTACTGGCTCACTGCTGTATGTTTGTCCTGTTTTACATTGCATTACTTATCTTGCACGCAGTTGGCTAGAAGACCATTATGTGGTCTTAAACTGAGCGTGCTTGATTTGTGATCACTTTGAGAATTTCTTCAAAGGAGCAGTCATTCTCCAGAGTGGTGAACATCTCGAGCACATGAAACGTCTTCAGAGAACAACAGTGACAACGTACATGGCTGTCTCACATATTATCACATTTGGCTTTGATATATAATAGAGCAAGGTGAGTAGGAGAGACGGAGAAGGCTTCTTTTCACAAAAAACCCACAGATTTTTGGAGCTGGTTTTCCAATTCAAAGTCACTGTGGTTGAAATCGTCAACAAGCAAATGCTGCTGATGCTTGTCAGCAGTTCGGTGGATGCTGCTCTTTCTCTCTGTTCAGCCACAAGGATGAATGAACTTCAGATAGTTTCGTCTAAAGTGTTTTTTTTCAAATGATAATAATAAAAAGACACAATAAGCAGACTTTTTGGAGTCATAGTATACACAAAGATGGTAGATTGATACCTGGAATGGAGTTCTGGAAAATTGTAGTGTAGAGCCACTTGATTCTGGCTGTTCGTGTGGTGTTTGGGTTATATAAATTGACTGTGGGGAAAATGAAACAGCTTGGTACTAGTCCTGGTAAATGACATATTGCTGAGATTTATAATATTAAGTACTTAACCTGTCTTGGTGAATTTTTCAGCATAAATGGTTCAGTTTGAGTTGAAAGCTGGATTTTTCACCATTACAATCTCACTAGGAATGGGAATCCAGTAGGCTCCTTTCTGCCATTTACGTGACAGCCGGCGATGCATCCTGTGCCACTGGAGTTCTGTTTGCACTGTTGGTGTTCAGGAGCCAGCCTGTTTGTTGCCCCGATAACATTGCCAGGGGCAAGTGGAAAAAAGTCGTAAAGAAACCACACTGAGATATGGGCAAATCAAAACATGCAAGGTGAAACAAGTCTAGGAACTGGCTAACCTCCTTCAGAGATGAAACTTAGTTTGCCCTTCTGTGTATTAAAAACTGAAGGCGAGCCTTACATACAGAAGTGTTTCAAGCTTGAACTAAAGCTGGCAGTGTTAATGGCTTGTAAAACAGGTGAACTACTTCCCTCCATGGACATTAATGCAGTAATAGTAATTAGACATGTTGATATTTATAACAAGTTTACTCTTTTCCATCTCAGTTTCAGGAGGTAAATACCCCACACCCAATCACAGTGCTATACGTAGCTTGTATAGAATAAGTTGTGGGTAGACCTTCCCAAGGTGACACTTAAATTTTGAATGAACGTTGTCTTGAGCACTGTATAGAAATCAAGGAATATTATCCTACCTAGCTCTAATGTCTCAAACAATGGAGGTAACAGTTGCATAGGTCATCCCAGCTGCTAAGCTATCGGATATGAATAACCAACCTTTGAAGGCTGGTCAGTTAGCTACACACAGTTTGGTATTTATCTCATCTGAGCACCTCAGTTATGAAGAGCTAGCGGCTGATTACATCTAGTCAGAGGAAACCTAAAAAAAAAAAAGAGGATTTCTAGTCTTTCCATTGTTGTGTGCAGCAAACTTGAGCGAGTTAGATCAGAAAAGGTAGTTAAACCAATTATAGCCAATGGAAATAAGAGTGTCCAGCTGTGTTGGCAGAGAACTGAGCCTAGCTCAGCTGTTGAGAAGACAGGACCAG